GACTATTATTGCCATTAAACTATGTAAAAAGCTAGAAGTAAAGCTATGGTTCAAGTGCTAGCTTTGAGCAAAAAAGCTCAGGGACAGGGCTGGGAAGGTGGCTCAGTGGTAGAGTGCTTGCCTTGCATGCATGAGGCCCTGGGTTTGATTCCTTAGTACCACATAAGCAGAAAAAAGCTGGAAGTGACTCTGTGGCTCAGGTGGTAGAGCGCTAGCCTTGAGCTGAAAAGCTGAGGGACAGTGCTGAGGCCCAGAGTTCAGGCCACAAAACCAACCCCCCCAAAAAAAAATTTTAAAAATTTTTTAAAAAGCTCAGAGACAGTATCCAGGCCCTGAGTTGAGGCCCAATATGGCACCATTACATACATACACACACCCACATATATATACACACACATACATGTATATATATACATTTATATATAAACGTACATATATATGACTTTTAAATAAAAAAATGTGATGGATGCACAAAAAATACAGAATAAAAACATCTCAAAGATCGAAAGAACATTGACGGTCTGTAAAGCTAGCTTAACGCATACTTGACAGACTTAGTATATACAGGCATTAAAAGTAAAAATGCGGGGGATGGGGGGAGGATGGGATGGGAAGGGGAAACAAAGGAGGAGGCTACAATGCTTGATAAATGTACTCATTATCTTGCCCATGTAATTGTAACCCCTCTGTACAGTATTTTCACAATAAAAAAGCATATAAAAAAAGATAAAGTAAAAATACAAGAATAGATTGCTAAATTATATCGAAAAGTGGTTATGCCCTATAGGAGAGTTAATACAAAGTCTTTGGGATCATTTCTTCTACCAAAAGAATGTTTTTTTCTTTGTCGGTCGTGGTACTTGAAATCTGGGCCTGGGCACTGTCCCTCAGCTCTTCAGCTCAAGGCTAGTGCTCTACCACTTGAGCCACAGCGCCCCTTCTGGTTTTCTGGTGGCTTACTGGAGATAAGAGTCTATCATGGACTTTCCAGCCCAGGCTGGCTTTGAACTGAGATACTCAGATCTCAGCCTCCTGAGTAGCTAGGATTACAGGTGTGAGCCACCGATACACGGCCCAAACAAATTTTTGCATCTCTGCTAGACAAAAATCCATAAGCTAACAAGTGATTTTCAGAGTCTAGACCCAATAATTAGTAAGCAATGATCCAAACAAAGATGCAATATCCTTGAGTACTAATAATTCCTGACTGGGCCTTTCAGCCAGTGCTGTTGAATACCTCCAGATGACTTTAAGGACACTCCATCATCCTTTTTTTTGGGGGGGGGGGGCCGGTTGTGGGGCTTGAACTCTGGGCCTGGGCACTATCCCTCAGCTCTTCAGCTCAAGGCTAGAGCTCTACCACTTGAGCCACAGCACCACTTCCGGTTTTCTAAGTGGTTTATTGGAGGTAAGAGTCTCATGGACTTTCCTGCCCGGGCTGGCTTTGAACTGCGATCCTCAGATCTCAGCCTCCCGAATAGCTAGGATTACAGGCATGAGCCACTAGCACCCAGGTTCCATCATCCTTTTGACTTTATTTGCACTTGAACTCAAGGCTTTGTGATCTCACTCAGCTATTTCATTCACAGCTGGTATACTTTGTTTTCTTAATTAACTAGATTTAAAAAAATCTCTTAGTTTTGTCTACCCAGGCTAGCTCTGAACCTCTATTCTCTGATTTCATTCTTCTGAGCAGGCAGGATTATAGGTCATCATTGCCTGGCATAACTTATTTTTAATTTTTAAATCATTTCTGTTAGTAAGGGGCTAATAGTTCATTTTATACCTGAATTTAAGTCTCTGAAATTAAAATTGCAGCCCTAGGGTATCACCACCTTCTAAACAGTGTGGTTCTATTTTCAGTTTTTACTTTCCATAAGCATTCTAAAACATTTACTTACCTTCTAAACCAATCAAAGGGTCTTAGAGATTCAGCTGTCTCCTACAAGGCAGCTTTCAATAGTTGCTTTGAAAGATGATCATAAAGCATTTTTGTGCAAGGAAGGAAGAAACTTAACTTACTGAGTGCCTATTACGTGCAAGTTTATTTTCAAAGGGCCAAATTTCATTTCACAAGTAACATACACTTAGCTACATATATAAAATAGATTTCTTCAGCATAATTGCTGTTAATTATAGCTTAATTTAAAAAATTATATACAGTATAATTTTCTCTTTCCAACATAGCTCAAGTTTGCAAATGAAGTTGTAATTATACTATAAACAAGATATAGAACAGTACTAAGCATAATTGCTTTTAAATATCAATTAATCAACAATTATTTACTACTATTGATGCATCTAGTAGTCACTGGTAGTCACTGAATGGGAATAAACAGGGGAAGAGTAAAAAAAGTAAAAGGTATATCCTCCTAAAAAGAATTTCCATATTGTAATTATCAATGCAGTTTTTTAAAAATACATCTAAACTAAACAGGTAATGGAAGAACACAAGATAAACAACTAGGTAATAATCTATATAAGATGGTTTTAGTTTAGACACTGCTATCAACCTTGTTTTTGTCTTTATAACTGGACAGGATTTGTTCCCATTTCTAAGGTCCATCAAAATTATAAGAACAGGTTCAGTTAGTAAAAGAGCTCAGAGTGATGAATGAAGGCTGAGAATTCAAAGAACAGCTTTCTAGCACTGAGGTGATAAGTGGGTGGTTTCTCTAGAGTGAACCAGGGTAAGTAGGAAGGATGCAACAAGGAGTTATGGAGAGAACAGTCATAATAGAAGAGCTGTGATGGAATAAATGGATAAATGCTGGTCCACTGGAGTGATGAACCGAACTGTTCTGGAAGAATGTTGTCCTGAGTGCCAGGAAGAGAAATGAGGACTAAGAACTGTGGTTTGTCTATTAAGCAAAGACAGGAATGACACTACAGTGACACTACAATGACAGTGACCCACAATCTTACTGAGAAAACTACCATAGACATGCCTACAAGGTCCTGGACAGTGGCCAAACCATGCCTTTTCATTCACTGTTGTATAAATCTTACTAAATTTTAGTGGCCAAGTAAATGCCATTTCATTTGCACACTTCTATGGGTTAGAAATTTAGATTGCAAAATTGAGTGAGTGGGCAGTCTTATCTTTCCTAGGGCTCTTCATGCAGTGACAGTCATCTTGTAGTATGACAGGGACTGAAAAGCCAAGATGGCCTCATTCATATATTAGATGTCTGAATGTTGACTGGGGTTCTCTCCCCACCTCAACTCTCTTCTTCCAGCAGGCTAGCTGGGGACTCTTCACACACATTCACATGCCTCAGGGAGCAAGAGAAAAGATACCACTCCTTGAGACCTAGGCTATTTGTCACTCAGAGAAATTTGGGGTGACAAAATATTGTATTTTAGAACAATATTAAAATAAGTAATAATAAAATGTGCATTTTATTGGCCAAAGCAAGTCAGAAGGATATTCCACATTCAAGGAATAAAGATTCCAGCTCTCGATCGGAGGAGCTGTAAAGTCACATTGTAAAGGGGTGGGCTAGAAAGATGAAATGACATTGTGGCCATTAAGTACTCTATCACATGATTTCATTTGTATAGTATACACTAAGCATATTTAATCAAGTCATAATAGTTCAAGCCCCATGACAAACAAAAAAAGAAAGAAATATCTAGGATGGAAAATACCTGAAGGCATGGGGAGACCCACCTAAGCAAAGGCAGTAAAAAATGAGGAATAGGAAAACTAGTGGCATGGTATATTTATAGATGTGAATGAAAACATGGAGTGGGTAGAAAAGACTTGAGAATAGGTGAATATGGTGAGAAACATAATGAATGGGTGTGACATGACTATGACATGACTATCAGACTCTCAAGAGTAAGGATACTAAAGTACAATGGACAGCCAGAGGTCAGTGGTAGCTTAAGAGCAAGGTAATGATCATTGTGTAAAGAAGAGACCTTTAGAATGTGTAACTATGATAGTCTGGAAGGAAGCTGAGTTGGCACTGGAGTGTGATGCATATTACTGAGGAAATGAAAAACTACACTAAGAGTCTATCTCATTATAGTCAAAATGCTTTCCAAACCACAAACACTGGCAAGGATGTAGGGAATTCCTTAAATATTGTTGGTTGGAATATAAACTAGTGCAACACTATGGAAATCATTGTGGAGGTTCATCAAAAAACTAAAAATAAGCTAGGTGCTGGTGGCTCACACCTGTAATTCTAGCCACCCTGGAGCCTGAGCTCAAAAGAGCTTGGTTTGAGGACAGCTCCAACAGAAAAGTCCATGAGACTCATCTCCAATTAGCAAGCAAAATCCAGAATTGGAAATGTGGTTCGAGTGGTAGAATACAAGGATTGAGTAAAAAAGCCCAATGTGATTGCAAGGCATGGAGTTCATGCCCCAATATCACCCTAGAAACCATAATGAAACCCCACTGTATAATAAATATATGATAATAAAAGGTAAAAAAGTGTATGTACAGTTGCATGCTTAGCATGTCCAAGATCTTAGGTTCAATCCCCATCACCAAAATATAAAAAGTATAAAATATAGCTTAGTGATTTACAAATTATCTATTTTGTGGGAAATATATTTGAGGATTTGAGGATTATAGCACCTGAAGCTTGATATTTAGACAGCAAAGCACTCAATATGCCTGATTGATTCTATTCTACTTTTTGCAGCCTCTTGTATGAAATATGGTAATATTCACAAATTTTTTAACATGAGTCTTCAATGTTGGGAGGGCAAGTTAAAAACCATCAAAAATGGATATTTGGACCAACTTTTGGATGTTATACAGGATTCTTGTACATTAGTCCATTGCCCTTCCCTACATGCTTTGAAGACTAAACATTTTACACATGCACATACATACACACATCATAGATACATTTGTAAGTTGATTTCCTTGGTTTAAAGACAAATATTTATTACATGATTCTAATATTTTTCAAGTTACAACATCCTTTCCTCAACAGGAATTTCATCGCCCTTGAGGAACCCTTTGCTATTCTACTTACCAGATAGGCTTGTATTCTATTCAGAATGTAGTGTCTTGTTCATAATACAGGGGATATTCAACTCAATTGTACCTAGTAATGTAAAGGGAAAAAAAAAACGACAGCTGTTATAAGTACTACAAAACAATCCAAACAGACTCATGATTTAATTTTTAATCAGGCAATTCACAAGTGCTAAAAACATGCTCAATAATTACAAAGCATACGTAATTGATTGTTTCTGCTTCGCTATTAACATCCAAAGAGGCAAGGGACAAGTAAAGAAAAAATGAATCTGTACCAAGTTTCTATATGTCATACATTGTTTTAACAATTTATATAGATTAAAACTTAGTTTAGATACCACCTTATCCCAGTCAGAATGGCCCATATCCTAAATTCAGCCAGCAACAAGTGCTGGTGGGAATGCGGAGAAAGATGAACGCTACTGCATTACTGGTAGGAATGTACACTAATACAACCACTTTGGAAAGCAGTTTGGAGGTACCTCAGAAAGCTAAATATAGACCTCCCCTATGACCCAGCCATACCACTTCTAGGCATCTACCCTGAACAACAGGAACCACAATATAAGGACACATGCACTTCCTCCATGTTCATTGCAGCACTGTTCACAATAGCCAAGATATGGATACAACCCAGATGTCCCACTACAGATGAATGGATCAAAAAATTGTGTTACCTATATGCAATGGAATATTATGTAGCCACTAGAAAGAACAAAATAACGGCATTCACAGGGAAATGGATGGAAATAGAGCAAATCATTTTACGCGAGGCAAGCCAAGAGCAGAGACAAATGGCACATGGTCTCCCCATTATGCAAATGTTAAATCCAAAAATGCAAGGAGATATGACAAAGTAAACAAGACTTAAGAAACAGAGGACATCTACTTAATATGTCATATAATTTCTAAATGATTCCATGTTCTTGACTTCATATATGGTGCATATATATATATGTATATGTATATGCACATCTGAGGGAAGTTATTAGGACACAGAGTCAGAGGGAAACAGGGGAAAATATACAAAAGAAGGGCCCATCAGCTGCACTGGATATTGATGAAAATGAACTAAGCAACTCAAGGGCAGCAATGGGAACAAGGGAATGAGAGGGAATGAGGGAACAGTTAACATTAAGCAAAAGGAAAGAACTGTACATATCACCCAACCTGGAAGAAATACTTGTATTGTCAAAACTTACAGAATTTGGACTGGGAAGGTGGCTCAATGGTAGAGTGCTTGCCTGCATGCATGAGACCCTGGGTTCCATTCTTTAGCACCACATAAGCAGAAAAAGCTGGAAGTGGCACTGTGGCTTAAGTAGTAGAGTGCTAGCCTTGAGCTGAAGAGCTGAGGGACAGTGCCCATGCCCAGAGTTCAGGCCCCACAACCGAGAAAAAAAAAGACTTATAGAATTCACAAACTTTATAGACCAAAATAGTGTTTATAATTTGAAGTATCAGTATCCTACAATACTGTGAAATTTATGTAATCACTTAATCTTAAAATTATTTTTATCTTTTATTTTATTTAAGTTTTTTTTATTGTGAAAATACAGTACAGAGGGGTTACAATTACATGGGCAAGGTAATGAGTACATTTCTTAAGAAGCATTGTTGCCTCCTCCTTTGTTTCCTCATCCAATCTGCGCCCCCCCCCCCCCCCCCCCCCCGCCAAAGTTGTGAAGTTCGTTTTTCAACATAATGTCTTGTACATTACTTTAGGATTCAAGTTTCATCTTGGACATACAAAGCCATAATTTCTACCTTTATAACAAAGAAAGAAGCTAGGTATACTTAAAGGTAACTACTTTTATTGGACCTGTGAGATAACTGAGGTTGCACAACAAACCAATACTCTGCTATATGGAGAGACAGGGGCTTGCACAATTATACAGGTCTGTGAGCATATACACTAATAGGAAGATTAAACTAGAAATTATAACAAATTTCTGGAAGCCAGAATATGAAGGTCAGGGTTTTGACATGTAAGTTTCCACACTCTTAAAAGATTTTCCTACAGAAAGGCTCTTCCAGTGAAGACCAAGGAACACTTCAGAGATGGCTCTCAGAGTAGTGCTGGCTGGCTCAGCAAAGAAGCACCCACTGTGAAACTTGCCTAGACTCCTTTCCTTTATGTCTGGTACAGAACAAAAGGCTTTCCTCAGGGAGGAAGGACTTAAGAGCCACAGCTTCAGAACACTGACAGATATCCAACACAGCTGGGGACAGTGAACCATGTGAAAAAAAAGAAGCTCCAGCCTTGAAGGAAGAACAGAAAATTTTTTTTTGGATCCGGTGGTGGTGCCTGAACTCTGGGCCTGGGCACTGTGCCTCAGCTCTTCACCTCAAGGCTAGCGCTCTACCACTTGAGCCACAACGCCACTTCTGGCTTTTTTTTCTGCTTATGTGTTGCTGAGGAATCGAACCCAGGGCCTCATGCATGCAAAGCAAGCACTCTACCACTGAGCCACCTTCCCAGGCCAGAACAGAAATTTTTTGTCAGTGACAAACTTAATACTCAGGTTCTAGTACCTGCTGAAATCTCATGCTTAATGAAGACTATAAGAACTCCTACCCTGAACTCCACTAACCACCCACAACTACCTGGCAAACCAACTAACTGTTTAGTAACTGTGGAATACAAAAAACCAAACCAAAACAAAACAAAAACATAGGTCTTTGGAAGTATCACAAGGTAAAAACTCAAAGCCAACCAAAACAGTCAAATTGACTAGAGGAATTGGAAATCTTTGGTGTCTATAGTGAAAACAGGCCAACTCCTAACTAGATTAACACAAATCTCCCACACTAAACATCTAGCAGAATGAGCCAATGTTTTTCTCCAAATATATAAAATATTTGCCTTAGCATCTTCTGTTTAGCTTTCACCATTTTATGGGGTATAACAAAAGGCAAGAAAATATTTTAAGTTACAAAGTGATCATATAAAACTTCAGTATAACATGAGTTTGGAGACTATCAAAATGAAATTTAAGGCAGGTACTGGTGGCTCATGCCTGGAATCTTAGCTACTCAAGAGGCTGAGATCTGAGAATCTTGGCTCAGAGTCAGCTTCAGCACAGCTTCGGCAGAAAAGTCCATGAGACTAATCTCCAACTAACTCCCCCCCCCCCCCACCCCCAGAGCCATAAGTGGAGCTTGCCTTAAGTGGCAGAGTGCCAGCCTTGAGCACAAAAACTCAAGGACAGACAGCATCCAGGGCCAGAGTTAAAGATCCAGGACCAGTAAAAAAGAAAAAAAGAAATTTAGAAAAAAAAATTAGGGCTGGGCACAGTGGTTATGCCTGTTAATCCTGGAGTGTATAAGCAGGAATACTGAAGGCTTGTTGAGAGGCTGGTCCTGGGCAAAACCATGAAATTCTCTCTTCAAAATAATTAAAGGAAAAAAACCCTGAAAAGTGTAGCTGAAGCAGCAGAGTGCCTGCCTAGCAACCATCAGATTCAAAACCCCAGTACTGCCATAAAGAAAAATTAATAGAATTATAATTAAGTCAGGCACTTATGGTTCATACCTAATAATGCTAGTTACTTAGGAGGATAAGATCTGAAGATCACAGCTTGAAGCCAGCTCAGGTGGAAAAATCTTTGAGTCTCTTATCTCCAATTAACCAGCAAAAGCTGGAGGTAGTATGTGACTTAAGTAGTAGAGTGCCAGCCTTGAGAGGAAAAAGGCAAGTGAGATGAATGAATGGAAAAACCACTTAATATGCAAGACCAGACATAATTTCAGCAAAGGAATGGAAGCTGTAAGAAAGAATCTAGGGTTGGAAGCATGGCTCAAGGGGTAACACTCTTGACTAGCAAGCAAATATCCTTGAAGTCAAATCCTAGTACTACAGAAAAATAAGAAAATTCTGGCTGGGTAGAGATAGAGGCTCATGCTTGTAATCCTAGCTACTTGGAGGTGGAGATTTGGGAGGATCACTGTTTGAGACCAGCCCAGGTAAGTAGTCTGAATATCTCCATCTCAATCAGCAAGCCAGACATAGTAATATACTCCTGTAATCCTAGCTACATGGGAGGCAATAGGTACAGGAGAATCACAGGTCAGGAATGGTTCTTGGCAAAAGAAAAAATAGAGACTTTATCTGAAAAAATAAACTAAAGTAAAAAGGAACGAAGAGATGGTTCAAGTGGTAGAGGACCTGCCTAGCAAAAACAAAGCCTTGGATTCAAACCCCAGTACCACCAAAGAAAAAAATGAAGGTTGGAGTAAAAAGGGAATACTAGAAATAAAAATGTTAAAAAAAGTACTAGGGTGTTCTCAAATGATAAATGCCAAGGCCCAGTTCAATCTCCCTTATCAGTACTACTCACACAAACCCTTCAAAACAAACAAAAACACACCCTACCAGTATATAAACCTCAAACTAACAGTAAGTTCAACAATAAAGCTGATAATGGCAAAAAAGAATCAGTGAGCTTGAAGATCATGTTTACTGATCAGGTAAATACAAATTAAAACAAAAGGACAAAAAAGAGTAGAGAAAAATAGATAGTATTCAAGAACTATGAGGTAAAAGTATAATAAATTTACCATTGGAACCCAGGAGAAAATCACCGAATGAGGCAGAATAATTGAGAAAAGAAAACAGTTCTCAAACTGACATGGCCAACCAAAGAATTTATATGCTAATATTTACCACAGTTTCAGTCATAATCATCAAAAAAATGAATATCCTAAATGTCTTCAAAAAGGAGAATGAACAAAGCAGTACATGGAATAGAGCATTAGCCAGTCACTAAAAAGGAAATTAAAAAAGCTCTTAACTCACATAATATGGATGTACTAAGTAAAACAATTCAGACCAAAAAGGCTTTATTTGGTAGGATTCCACTCATATGGCACTGTGGAAAAAGTAGGAATATAGTTAAATGATTTTCTTTTTTTTTGTCAGTCATGGGGCCTGAACTCTGGGCCTGAGTGCATCCCTCAGCTCTTCAGCTCAAGGCCAGCACTCTACCATTTGAGCCATAGCACCCCTTCCAGCTTTTTCTGCTTATGTGGTGCTGAGGGCCTCAGGTGTGCAAGGCGAGCACTCTA